GAGATTAATTTACAGCTACTGGATTCATTACGGCAGCTTTGGTTAAGAAACACAGAGCAACACGAGGAGAAGCTCAGGAGAGTAAAATGTTGATGTGTTTGCAAACCAGCTTCAGTGATTTACTTCATATAGAAGCGTGTGTGTCTGTGGTTGTGTGTTTTCAGTGGAGTGCCTCCCAGCTCCGAACATCAGCTGTCGGCTCTCCAACGGGACGGAGTTCAGGTTCAGCGGGGAGGAGGTCGGCTTCAACAAAACCATCCCCTGCAGGAACGTGTGAGTGCAACACACACAGACACACACAAACACAGACACACAACCACACTCGCAGCCTCCTGCAGACAGTAACGTGTCGGCTGCTGGTTTTTGTTCCTCCGCTGCAGTGTTTTAGGCGTGGTTGGATGTAACGCTGAGTGATTCTGTCTCTCTGTTTCTGTCTCAGGAGCGGTTACTCCTACAAGGTGGCCGTGGCGCTGTCTCTGTTTCTGGGCTGGCTGGGAGCCGATCGCTTCTATCTGGGATATCCTGCTCTCGGTACGAACACTCTTTATTATTTCAGCTAGCGTTGGCTGCCAGCCCCGTCAGTTTTATCATAGCGAGGTGTGGATAGAGGTGAGGTGGGACGACAGGTGAGTCAGCAGACTCAGAGACTCGCTGATACAAACACAAAGCTCCCTGCAGCTTCAAACGCCTCATTTTTCCATGAATCATCTTCAGTTTTCAGTCTGACTGAAAGAAAACAGAAATCAGACAAACTGCATCAGAGATCTACATTCTGTCCGACCTGATCACCAACATATTCATCCGCTGCTTTGTTTACATGTAAGAGTCATGTTGGGCCATTTCTGCCATTTCAGACAATTATTGGGACATTTTTGGCAAATTTCAAGTTATTTTGGGGACTCTTTTTGTAAGGTTGGACAATTAATAGTCATTTAAACAGATGCTGAATCAATTAGGAGAAGTTCCTGTCACTTTAGTCCCTTACTAAGTCATTTTAGACCCTTACTGAGTCACTTTAGACCCTTACTAAGTCACTTTAGACCCTTCCTAAGTCACTTTAGCCATCACTGAGTCATTTTAGACTCTTACTAAGTCACTTTAGACCTTTACTGAGTCACTTTAGACGCTTACCAAGTCATTTTAGATGCTTACTGAGTCATTTTACACCCTTACTGAGTCATTTCAGACCATTACTAAGTCATTTTAGACCATTACTAAGTCACTTTAGATCGTTACTGAGTCATTTTAGACCCTTATGGAGTCAATTTATACCCTTACTGAGTCATTTTAGATGCTTACTAAGTCACTTTCAACCCTTACTGAATCACTTTAGACCCATACTAAGTTATTTTACACCCTTACTGAGTCCTTTCAGACCATTACTAAGTCATTTTAGACCCTCACTAAGTCATTTTAGACCATTACTGAGTCATTTTAGACAATGTTTAAAACATTTTGGACCAGTTTTTGCCATTTTGGATAATTTGTGAGTCATTTTTGACACTTTTGTTAGTTTTGATCAATTTTGAGCCATTTTTGAACAAGGACTTGTCAGGTTAGACCTTCTTTTGTTGTTTTAGACAACTTTGAAGTCATATCAGACCATTTTTGACACCATGAATTTGTAATAATTGACAACATCCAGGTTTTGGATGATTTCTTGCTATTTCAGACAGATTTTCTGTTGCTTTGGACGAGGTTTTGTCACTGTTGACACCATTTTAGTCATTCTGAACAAACTTTAACTCACTTTGGGCAGTAGATCTCTCGTTTCTGTTTCCTTTCAGACTGAAAACAAAAAAACATGCATGGAAAAATCAGGCTTTTTTGGAAAGCTGCCATCAGCTCAACACACTGTTTAGCCCTCGTTTGTGACACAGGTGAAGTCAAACTAAAACCACAGAGACACGACAGACACACTAATGTGAAACTGAACTAAAGCAGAATGATCCTTTCAGACCTGAAACTTGTTCAGCTCACTTTAAATGTTCGTATTTCATCAGATCTGCTCTGAAACCAACTGCCTGAAACTCATTTTTAGAATAAATGTGACTTGGCTGGACGCGGACTGACCTGAGCCAAACCAGGACAGGTGTTGATCAGAGCAGCAGCCCTGCAGCCAAACGCCCTCCAGCTACACAACACAGACCCACAGACACACACAGACTCACACCAGCCTCTTTGTCGAGCTGCAGGTGTCTCATTAAAGGACAAAAACTGGTCCTTGTGGTGTAAATCATAACTGTTATTCTCTGTTATTATTGTGTTGTTATTGTGCGTCGGTCACACAAACAAAACGGCTGAAAACACTAAATGTGGGAACAGTTGGAGGGTTTTTACTGTTAATGTCTGAGGTGAAGCTTCTCTACAACAGCTGGACACAATAGAATCTTTATCGCGTAATGCAAAAGCTCCTCTGACTGTGAGGATTTTTAGTGTTTCTGCAGCTTTCGAACATGCGTCGTGATGTTTCTCTGCAGTTTCACTGAAATCAAACACTTTAAGGAAGTCCTTCAGCGAACATCAGTCTGACTGTTTTGCGTCTTCGACACACTTCTGACTGAAAATAATCTCTACGGTCGTTGTGACAACATGGCAGTTTAAACATGATGCAAAACACACATTTATTACTATTATTACTGTAAATCTATATAATATAATACTGTGTCTGTGAGTCAGTTTAACTTCACGTTTCTCATATAAATTTAGGGAAATGAGGACAAACATGCACATCGATCTCCCCGCAGCTTTATGAAATAAAAAAAAAAGACTTTTATACAAATCATCCTCCTGGAACATTTATCAAACTGTAAGATAAATAAAATAAATAATACATCCTGTCTGACCGCCGACATGTTTGACTTTTATAACTAAATGGTTAATAGTGATGATGGTTCACCTCGTCATTCCAACTGAGCCACAAATTGTCCAAAACAAGTTAGAAAATGTTCAGAAGGACTCCGAATTTGGCCAAAATTAACTCAAATGTTTCTTGATCAACTAGAAATTAGTCCAAAGCAACACAAAAATTGTTAAAAACAGCCAAAAAAAAAAAAAAAAAAGAACAACATGAGTCACAACGTGTCCATGATCAGGATGCATTGTCCAAACTGACTGGATGGTGAGACCATCACTGAGTCGTTTTAGACACTTACTAAGTCACTTTAGACCCTTCTTGAGTCATTTTAGAGTCTAAATGTAACATGTTTGAACTTTGTCCAAAATAACAAAAACTAGTCCTAAACAAATGTCTTGATCTGTATCTTGAACTCAGGAAAGCTTCTCAGGGATTTTGTAGAAACCTTCAGGTGTTGTTTGTAGCCAGCTACAGTTTTTGAATCCTTCAAGTCCCTTCTGGACCTCTGATGCACTGAATCATAGAAGTTCTGATGATTGATTATTGATTCTCAGCGTTTGGTTTTAACTCTGATTCATAGAAACTTGCTGCTGCTGAAAATGCTCTTTATCTAACGTCGACTCACCGCCGCTTTTCTCTCTCAGGACTGTTGAAGTTCTGCACCGTTGGTTTCTGTGGAATCGGGACGCTGATCGACTTCATACTGATCGCCATGCAGGTGAGTCTCAGACCCGTCTGGTACCGGTCCAGTACCGGTCCACCCTAAAAACCAGCAGCTGATGAGCTTCACAGTTCTTCATCTTTATGTCTTTACTTTAATTAGTTTAATTTAATTTTTTATTGAATTTCCCTTCTGGGATGAATAAAGTATTTTTCATTTAAGTAAATTCTGTGTTTAAATAACTGATGAATCGTCTGAATAATGAACTCAGGATGTTTTGAGTTTGTTTAAAAGGCAGGATTCAGTTTCCTTTGATAGAAAACAGTTTGTTCTGTTGAACATGAAGCAGCTGATTAGCTTAGCTTAGCATGAAGCATTAGCATGGTTCTGTCTAAACATATATATTGTTTTTCCAATCTGTTAAAAAACAAATAAAAATATGAACTTCATTAATGTTAATAATTAATTTGTAGTTTTATTGCCGTTAATTCATTTAAGTTTGTTTAAATTGTCATCATAGGACAAAATTAAATACAAAACCTAAATATATCTTGATCTAATGAAAAAATACGATTGAAACTAATATAATAAATATAACTGGAACTCAAAGACATCCAAGTCTAATAAATAATATTGTTCATAATGATTGAAACTAATAACAAATATTAAAATATAAGAAACGCAAATATATGTAGATGTAATAATATTATTCCTAATAAATGCAACGATTAAAATTTAACTGAAACTTATTATTCATAAGAAATATAACATCAAATACAACTGAAAATCCATCTAAATATAAATATTTTTAATAATTATACCTGACAACTCATATGAACTATAACAGAAACATAAATATATCTTAATATAGTCATTATATTAGTAAATATAACAAATAAACAAAGTTTAAGTCTATCAAAATGTAATGAATGAATAATAATTGTTCAGAATAAATATAACTTATAAGTCATATCAAATATAACTGACGTAGAAATGTATCTAATAAAAAATATTCTTACTAAATATAACTAATACAAAATATAACAACAACTGAAATATATCTCAATATAACTGATATACAAATAATATATATAATTATGTCTTAAAACTAAAACTGAAATATATTTCAAACAACTCAGTTGGAAAATCTTTTCTCCACACGTTCAGTCAGTGGACATTAAATGCATCTGCATCGGTATTATTGATTATTAATTTCATTTTTTAGCTATTTTTCAAATATATGAGCCAAAAACTTGAAGGTTTCAGCGTCTTAAATGTCTTCCATCACAGAGATCTCAACATTCGGGGGTTTAAAACTGAACGTGAAGAAAATCAAGAGGAAGAAAAGTGACCTTTTGCTGGATGCTATTTAGATTTTTCACTGTTATGTTCAGTTTCATGGATCAGACAGTAAAAGAATCAGCAGATTAATCAGTAATGAGAATAATGGACTCTTTCATCAGCTGCCGTTTCCTCTCCGCTCGTTCAAAGAGTCGCTGCTCTCAGGAATCTTCTCCACTCGAGTTTTAGCGGCGAGCTGATGAACAAACAGCTCTCTGCTTATTATTTACATCCATCCATCGAGCAGCTGAAGGATGAATCATGTTCCAGAAGCTTCTAATGGACTGAGCAGACGGATGGAGGAGGGAAGCCGGAGGTGAAGGGACGAATCGCTCCGTCCTGCCGAGGCGCTTTAGATAATAGCGGCTGGAGATCCATCACTGGAGGAGTGACGGGGAGGAAGGACGGATGGATGGTCGCACTAATGGTCCGTTTAAACCTGGACGGGTTTGACGGATCAGAGGTTTTTACCTCCAGTTAATGTGATCATTAACCCTCCGGCTGAGACGTCCTCAGAGACTCTCTTATTCTTTAGTCTTTAGGGAACAACATGTAGAAATGTATAGATATCTGACCTTTTTATTTTGTCTCCAAACTCGTCTCCTGCCTGCTCCGTGGGAACACTGCCTGCAGTTCAGCCTCGTTCTGCTGAAGGTCCTCACATCACATGGTTGTTGGCTGCAGGAGAGTCACAAGAGAGCACAAAATCTGTAGTTTTATGCAGAATCCGGTTCAACAGATGATTCTTTTAAATGACACGTGACCTAACGGGGTTTTGATGTAGTATCACAATGTTGAGCTTAGAGTTAGTTTACTGATGGATTGGCGAGTCACAGATAAGCAACATCTTCTCTTTTTATAGCTTCTCTGATGTGAGAAGTTCAGGAAAATGAAATTATTTCTTTTAAATACATTTCTTCTAAATATCATCTGTAACTACAGAGTCACTGCTGGTTTTAATTGGAACCTAAAAATCATCTAAACTCAGAGTTAATGTTGAACTTTAGAGGATTATGATTATATTCAGTTCGTTTACATTTAAATTAATCACCATGTGTCACCACAGTTTAACATCACAAGAATCTAACATCTGAAACCAACCTGCTGGCAGCTTTAAAGGCTTGTTATTCTAAAAAATCCCCAAAACGAGGCCATTTATCAGCCAGAAACTGTAAAAACATCAAGTTTTCAACTGAAAATCCTGATAATTAATCAAAATCACTTTATTTATTCTAGTCTCATTTAAAAAATATATTCTTCAAAACTTGGTTCTTCTGGTTCCACAGAGCTGCAGGACTTTATGAACCTCGGTAAAGGAACATGAGACAGGAGCTGCTCAGAGTTAAACAGAAGTTGTCGCTGTGTTGTGTCTCTGCAGATTGTGGGTCCAGCTGACGGATCAAACTACATTGTGGATTATTACGGAGCCCGACTGACCCGTCTGTCCATCACCAACCAGACCTACAGGAAGCCTCACCTGTCCCTGTGAACACGCCTGCACTCACCTGGACACTCCGACGACGCTGTGAGTCCTGACATCAGCCTCTTCCCTCAAGATTCATCCTCAAACCGTAAACTTGTCACCAGATCTGCTGAATGGATTCAGTTCTGATTCCTAAAAAACAAAACAGACTTCAGAGTAGCTAGAAGACGACAAAACAACCAGATACACACAACAGGTGACCGCAAAAACACACAACCAACCGCAAAGACACACAAAATAAAAACAGACACACACATGTAACTTGAAGATCTTCTGCCAAGCTGTAGCTGAGTCGTGCTTCGTGTTTGCGTTGAGTCATCCTGCCGTTATTGATCACGATGGATGATGTCAAAGATGAAGATCAACTTTATTGATCCATCAACACATCAGAGCAGCTCAGCAGACAGAAGAAAGAGGAGAAGTGATGAACAGATAAAAGATTAGAATTATGACTAAACATCCAAAAGTCAAGGAGGAAATAAAGATACTGAAGCTCTGAGCTCCGTTTAATTTCAAACTGCAGCTTCTGATCGATGTTTAGACTCAGGCTTAAACTATTTATTGATTAGAAAAAAGAATTTTGATCCAGAGTTTGTGTGTTTGCTGCTTTTATAAATCCAGGTTGTCCTCCTGGTGTAACTTTAACTCTCCATGAGTTCGTCACATGTATGAAATCTGTTGAACTGAAGGACTGAAATACATTAAATCCAATATGAATATGAGATATTTTCTCCTGGTTCAGACACAAAGGACAGAACCTAAGTGAGCAGACATTAAAATAAAAGTCCTGTTCTGGTTTTCTCTCCTCAGATCTGTCACACTTTTAAAATGTGTCTTAAATAAATGAAAATATGTCCTGAAATGAATTTTCTGAGACACTCCGGCCTCTGAGGACACAGTAGTTAAATATCAGAGTAAAGTCACCTTGCAGCAGGTTTCTGAGGGAATAAAAGAGCTGAAATCCGACCGCCTGGTTCCTAAAGGCTCACTGCACTCAAACTACAGTTTAGAGATTTCTGAAATCTGTGGATCATCTAAAGTTTGCCTCGTTGAATAAACCCAAAAATGGAGGCTTTAACTGAACCTTTAGGATCCATCAGGGAGCCGATCGAAGCTCAGAGCTGATAAATGAACTCAACAAGCAGCTGACTGAGGCTGCAAACAGACATCAGAGTTTCCAGCTTCAGCTTCAGATCAAACTGAATGACTGAACGAGCTGCAGGGAGACAGAAGGAACATGTGGATCAGACTGAGCCGTTTAAACCTCCAGTCTCAAGCCTGCACATTTTACTGCTTCACCTTCCTCTCAACAAGGTTTTGGTGATTTTACACGTCTACGATCTGAACATCAAACTCCAGTCAGAAATCTACATTAAGCTGCCGTCACACTTTGATAAAACTCAGGTCCAGAAGTTTTGATGCTTGTCGTGTCGCCCACGACTCCAAACTCCAACGAGAAACCAGAAAATTTCAGTCTTTCATCTAAACAGTAAGAATTTTTTTCTACTCTTTACTAAAACCTGCTCATTTTCTGCGTGCATCAGCAGACACGTGTCCATGTTCAGTGCTCCACCAAACTCTGTCAGAAACCTGCATCAGGCTGGTTTCGTACTCATTTAAAAACTCAGAAACTCGTCTCTTCTCCCTCCGTCAGTAGACACTCTGCTGTCGCGTGCATCATGTTTCTGCAGCGTCCTCGTCTGCAGTCAGAAACCTGCTCAGACACTAAATGCATGTTTGGAGACTGAAGGTGGAGCAGTAGATGAAACGTTCAGCAAACATCTCACAGATCGAAGGAGAGAATCAGAGTTCAGAACTTGAAGCAGAACAGCTGAAGCTTCTATTGAGGCCTTCAGAGGCTCCTGACCTCGCCAAGGATCAGAAACCTGCTGCACAACGTCCTGAAAGCATCTCTGAAGATCTGCAGAAGGAGTCCTCAGATAATAGATATTTAAAGTTTCTTACACAGGCAGCAGAAGGAAAAGAACTAAACTGAACTGAAAGTGTTTCAGCAGAATTTCTCACGTGAACGGAACCAAACCTTCCCACTGAGCTGCTCATTGACGTTGAACTGATCTTCTCTGTGTCTGCAGGTTTCTCCATCAGCCTTGTAAATACAGAGAAGACAGCTGACCAACCTCCTCGTGTCCACTTTAAGTTTTCATCAAACAACATGTAAAAATGATTTGATTTCTTGTTGGAGGAAGATTATAAACCCGGAGGCACTGAGAGGAGCCTGATGTCTGGACTCGCTCTGCTCTTCATCTCTGAGTCTTCACCTGCTTTCCGTTCTGTTCACTGAAGCTTCTGATCCTCAAACCCTCACTGGACCATTTCTGTCTTTAAGTTATGACGTTGTAAATAAAGTTTTTTTTGTGTTAATCTACACGTGACTCATTATTTTGTGTCGTGTCATTATTAGTTAGAATTCTTTTATGTCTTCTAACTGCTAACACTATTTTACCAGGATGATGTCTACCATGAAGACACGACGTCTGAGGTTCAGGGTCAGTTCTGGATTTTAACCGAGGAGGAGAAAACAGAAGGAGTTAAAAACAAAACATCAGCGTGACTTTATTTCCTCATTTACAAAAAAAAAAACGCTTTCAGCTGCAGCTGCGAAGGATTCTCTGTTAATTCTGAGCAGCGAGTGTTTGTGTGTGTGTGTGTGTGTGTGTGTGTGTGTGTGTAAATGTGTGTGTGGTTGGTCTCGTCGTATTTCCTCGTCGGGTTCGCAGCAGCCATGTGGCTTTCATCAAAATTCAATTATGGAGGAGAAACACGCTTCACAGGACTCACAGTTCAGGTCGAAGAGAAGCTGCAGCAGCAATAGTGTTAGCGTGTGTGTTACTGTGTGTGTGTGTGTGTGTGTGTTGCTGTGTGTGTTAGAGTGTGTCTGACCGTGTGTCTGTTACTGTGTGTGTGTGTTTCAGTGTGTGCTAGAGTGTGTCAATGTGTTACTATGTTTGTGTGTGTCAGTGTGTGTTACTGTGTCTGACCGTGTGTGTGTGTTAGAGTGTGTTTTTCTTTGTGTGTGTGTGTGTGTGTTAGTGTCAGTGTGTGTTACTGTGTGTGTCAGTTTGTTAGAGTGTGTGTGTGTGTGTGTGTGTGTGTGTATGTCAGAGTGTGTTATTGTGTGTGTTAGTGTGTTAGAGTTTGTGTCAGAGTGTGTTACTGTGTGTGTTAGAGTGTGTGTCAGTGTGTGTCCTGATGAGTATCTCCTGGGGTTAAAGGTGAGCCATCACAGACACACTCTCTAACACACACTGCTTCGGTCTCTGCGGTTGTTTTCTTTATAAATTTGTGACTCTCGGCTCGCCGCTTTAGCTCGCCTGGTTGAGCTGGTGACCCATGTACAGGGGCTATAGTGTCCAATGCAGCGGCCATGGGTTCAAATCCCGCTCATGGCCCTTTGCTGTAACCCATTCTCCCATTCTCCTCCCCCACTTTCCTGTCGCTCCTTCGACTGTCCTATACAATAAAAAGGCCAAAAAACAACTTTAAAAAAAGTAATAAAAATTTGTGACTCTCAGATGTTTCCATCAAACTGAACTGAATCTGTCTTCTTCACAGCTGCGACAGTCACAACAGACACACAAGGCAGACTGAAGCCCGACTGGTTCTGATCCACCTGACAGTCGTGTTAGTGTGTTCTGTGCAACACTCAGAAACACTGACAACACGTCGACCACCATCATGTACAACCAGAAAGGTTCTGAACACGACAATCCAAACACAACCGTAACGACACACCAGCCCTGGAACACACAATCAAACAGACTTCACAGGCACAGAAACGCAGCGATGTGACAAAGTGAGGAAGCAAATAAAGTCCTGCAACTCGACAGAATAAAATGTGAAAACCTGGAATCAGCAGGTTTCCACATGTTCACAACATACTGGAGATATTTAACTGTTTACATTTCTAACTAGTTTCCATCCTCGTCTCCTCTCTGTGAACACACTGCTGCAGTTCATCTGAAACCTCTAAACTGTGGAGAATCAGTTGCGTTGTGGAGCTCAGAATTCCATCCATCCATTATCTACACACCTTAATCCTCACTAGGGTCATGGGGGGCTGGAGTCTATCCCAGCTGACTCAGGGTGAAGGCAGGTTCACCTGGACAGGTCACCAGTCTATCACAGGGCTACACTTAGAGACAGACAACCAAGCACACTCACATTCACACCTATGGACGATTTAGAATCACCAATTAACCTCAACATGTTTTTGGACTGTGGGAGGAAGCCGGAGAACCCGGAGAGATCCCACGGGAGAACATGGAGACTCCATGCAGAAAGATCCCGGGTGTCTGACTATGATTCCTGTTCAGGCCGATAAATGCTGTCGTTTTGGTGATTTTCTGAAGATAACTTGCCTCTAAATCCTGCTGGTGGGATTCTGAGGCCCAGAGGGTTAAAATGATGCTGCTGCAGCTGAACATCAAGTCTACTTCAGAGCAGCGTTTTCTTTAACATTGGAGGGTTTCGATGAAAACTTTCTGCAGATAAAGACGAACCTGAAGCTGCTGCAGATTTAAAAGCAGAACCAGAGCATGAAGATCCATCCGGTGGTTCTTTCAGCTGCTTCGACCTGTGAACGCACCCGTAGTTTTGCAGGACAACTTTCCAGCTCTTGAAATTATTCACTAAACGTTTCTTGTTATTATTAATCACACTTGCTGCATCAACTTTATGATAAGTCTATTTTTACTGCAATTTTACTTCAGTATATGTGCTGGATGCAATGTTAGTAGTACAACTATCTCTAAAAACAGCAGAGTAAAAACAAGAGGGTCCAGAATTGATCCCTGAGGAACTCCGGGTGGATTTAAATTTCTGATGGGTAGAAATTATTTCTGTGTGCGCTAGTGTTAAAACCACGCTCTGAAAATGTGATTTAATACAAGACTTCATCTAGCATGCAGCAGAATAAAAATAAGAGGATCCAGAATTGATCCCTGAGGAACTCCAAACCTCAGATTAGCTGGTTTAAATGCAAAATATCATTTAACAATCTCTGCTAGAAAACCTTCAGCTGCAGGAAAAAATGGAGGAGCTCTGACTTCCAAAAGCAAAACCAGAATCAGAACCACTTAAGTTGAAAAAAGTCATCTGTCTGTCCACGCTTAACTGACGGCACAGCAGCGCAACAACAGCGTTTACTGTGATTAGTGTCTGACTGAATGTGGTCTGGTGAGTCCACGCTCCGAAAATGTGATTTGATAAGTGACTTTATCCAGTACGCAGCAAAATATAAACAAAAGAGGATCCAGAATTAATCCCTGAGGAACTCCAAACATAATTTTAACTGATAGAGATGAAAATCTGACAAACTCAGCTGCAGAAAAGAAAAGCTACGACTTCCGAAAGCAAAACCAGGATTGGAACCGCTTCAGCTAAAATATTCAACTGTCCGTCGCTCACTAACCACACAACAGCACAACAACCATGAGAATGGGATTGATTAAAACCAAAGAACGTCGTCAGAATTAATAAAATCTGCTCTCAGACACACCCAACTTTTGATTTCATATGTACAGGAAAAAATTAAGTGTTTTCTCATTAACCTCAGCCTGAGTTTGATGACAGCAGCCCCTGGTGGACATGAGAGGAACTGCAGCTTGTTGCATGTCAGTGGACGAGGCTGCCGATTGGTCGGCTGCTTTTACTGGGGTTTTTTTTTTTGTGACTGTTTGTTCAATTTGTTCGTGTTCGTCTTGTAGCTGCGCAAAACATTAGAATAATTATCAACCGGGTTTACAATGTGAGTGGCTGACAAGGGGGTTAAACCTGCACGCGCTCACACACACACTGAAGCAAACACACAATGAAACACACACAGACTCACACGGCGGCTGCAGGAAACACAGAGGGCATGAAATTACAGTTGCGTCGGTTGGAACGAAGCGCAGGAGGAAACTTTGGCGATAAGGTGGAGGCTTCACGCAGTGTGTGTGCTGCTTTCTGTCTATCTCTGTGAGGACCACTGTGAGATTTAGCTTCAGAAGTGAGGACATTTTGTGCAGTCAGACCTTCAACCAGCTGCTTGAGGGTCCAGATTCAGATCCAGGGTTTTGGTTCAGGTGCCTTCATTTGTACTACATCAATGAGGGTCCTCACAGAGACAGAAGTGTGTGTCCTAAGTATGTGTGTGTGTGTGTGTGTGTGTGTGTGTACGCTGCCTAAATAAAGAAATCCCAGAGCTGTGGGATCCGCTATAATCCCTGTGTGTGTGTGTGTGTGTGTGTGTGTGTGTGTGTGTGTGTGTGTGTGTGTGTGTGTGTGTGTGTGTTAATTTGGACAGTCAGGCCTGGTGTGTCACCAGATAAGTCAGTTCAATATTCACAGTCGGTCGGTCAGAGCTCAGCTGCACCACAGAGTGTGTGTGTGTGTGTGTGATTTAATTTTCACACATCATTTAAGTTTTATTCTAAAACCTGAAAACAAACAGGATCGTCTGCTGCTCTGAACAATGACTTTGTGTCACAACAGATTCGTTCCTCTGAGACAGAAAACTGAATGTACGACCTGATGTTTGAGTCCCTGAATGCATCAGGAGGAGAAGAAAACCTCCAGACGGACAGAAAGTGTCGTTTTATTCTGTATCTGAGACAGTTTTTCTCACTGTGTGTCTCTTTGTGTTGGCAGTCATTTTACACGTCAAAGTTTTGCTTTTTGTCTGGACGTCGTGTTTCTTTGTCGTCTTCTGTGTCTCTATGTAGAACGTTTTAAATTTCTGTCATTGTTCAGTATTTCTTAGTATTGCATCTCTTTATGATTGTTTTAGCTGTTTCATCTCTTCTTTTTTTTCTAGTTATTTTACATCTCTTTAGCTGTTTTGTGTCTTTCCACATCCGATTTGCATCTGTGTCGTCATTTTGCGTCTCTTCAATGCCGTTTTGTTTCCCTGACGTTGTTTTGCGTCACTTCAAAGTTATTTTCTCCTACATCCTCTACTTCTTTGTCTTTTCCACATTTTTGCATCCAGCAGCTTTAGTCATGAAACTCACTGATGTTTGTCTGCTCGTTCAGGTTTATTGTTCAGGTGAAGTCCTGGTTTGGTTCCACTGGAAGGAAAGAATCACTGCAGAGCTGCACATCTGATCTAAACTGAACTGAACTCAGTCAGTCTGAGCCACCGAACATTTCTCAACTTGAACCAAAAGCTTGAAATGTGCAGACATGACGTTCCTGCAGTTATTTATCTGAAATAAATAAATGACCTTATCTGAATCTGAGGAGGAGTTTGGTGATGAAGAGCTAACAACCCTCCTCCTCGTCATCATCATCCTCATCATCATCATCATCCTCCTCCTCCTCCTCCTCCTGCGTCTCCTTCAAGGTTCTTCAAACAAAGAGCAGGTCAGGATTTAAAGCTTGATC